GACTGTGCCGATTCTCTACAAACAATGACATCCGTGGATTACATTCGTTCCAGCAGCGAAGCTGTCACGTCAGCCCACCAGACAGCGGTCATCCAGTGGTACAGGTTTCCACTGAGAAATTGATACCTTTGTACAATTGTTACTTTTGTTCAATGTTAGCCAATAGTTTAAGAACACTTAGTAAATAATTGATTTTTTTTCCACAGTTATGGAGTTTTGCATCCACTATAGAGCCAACAAAAGACAATCGTAGCAGTCATTATTCTAACATAAAATAATCAATTGATGCCAGACTCTACAACTGGACGGGAATGTTGGTTATTTACTAGGTGATCCTAATTGTTGGGCTCCCACTGTAGTTCAGCCATATACCTAGTTGCCTTGCAAGAACAGACAGCTAAAGGGGTGCGGGTAGAACAGTTAGAAATGGTACTGTAGACCAGGTATCTCGTTTGTATATTAAAAAGAAAGGGTGGGGGTTGTTTGAAATATCAGGGGCGGAGAATGTTGGATTGACAGAGGAAGGAGAAAGTATTAGGTTAGTTGCGTATCCTTTACAGGACGTTGTAGAACCAACCCCAACCGCCCCTGGCTAAGGAGAAAGTACCAACAAGAAAATGCTAAACTGTTTCAGTCTGGGACAGCTGAAACTGAAACTCCTTCTGTCCGAAGCCAGGTGACCTGAAGCCAATGAAAGCTGCCTCTGAAGGAGCTCAATATCCTTTTAAACTGCTAGAGTTGAAGTAGCCGGTGGGACACGTGGGTGGGTTCATGGGACAATCAGATGAGACGTACGGAGTTCTGAAGAAGTCTTTTGCGTGGGTTCCCGGCTCCGTTGTGAGGGGAAATAGAAAAGACCCACTGACCCCCCCCCCCCCCCCCAACCACAACAAGCATGTCGTAAGAGTCGACTATTAAGGATGTGTCCTTCAAAGTGGAAGTACATCTAGCTGACATACGAGGAATAAACAGTCTGTAAATACAGATAAGTTAAATCTGTAAAAGGATTTTCACGCAAAACTCGAGTTCTGGAACAAAACTAAAGTCCAAAAGTTGACAAACAAACAAACTAGAAATGTTTTCAGCTGGTGAACACGAAGAAGAAGAAAAAGAAAACGCCTATCTTGTACTCAGTCACCAACAAACGCATAACGAGTTGCCGGGGACCGAACAAGTTTTAGTGAACTGGCATGGCGTTCAAGATAAAATCCACATCTGATCTTGGTGGGCCACTCACTACCAGCGCCTGAGCTCGCTATACCCAGCCCAGGTCAATGGGTCAATTAGAGTAGACGGCATTGTGACATTACTGCTGTTTTTATCTGAGATACAGTTGTAACATTGCTATTAAAGGAAAATGATACAGTTATAACATTGCTGTTAAACGATAATGATACAGTTGTAACATTGCTGTTAAAGGATAATGATACATTTGTAACATTGCTGTTAAAGGATAATGATACATTTGTAACATTGCTGTTAAAGGATAATGATACATTTGTAACATTGCTGTTAAAGGATAATGATACATTTGTAACATTGCTGTTAAAGGATAATGATACAGTTATAACATTGCTGTTAAAGGATAATGATACAGTTGTAACATTGCTGTTAAAGGATAATGATACAGTTGTAACATTGCTGTTAAAGGATAATGATACAGTTGTAACATTGCTGTTGAAGGATAATGATACAGTTGTAACATTGCTGTTAAAGGATAATGATACATTTGTAACATTGCTGTTAAAGGATAATGATACAGTTGTAACATTGCTGTTGAAGGATAATGATACAGTTGTAACATTGCTGTTAAAGGATAATAATACAGTTGTAATATTGCTGTTCTATGATAGTGATGGTACACTTGTAACATTGCTGTTAAAGGATAATGATACATTTGTAACATTGCTGTTAAAGGATAATGATACAGTTATAACATTGCTGTTAAAGGATAATGATACAGTTATAACATTGCTGTTGAAGGATAATGATACAGTTGTAACATTGCTGTTAAAGGATAATGATACAATTGTAACATCAGTTATATAAGGATGATACAGATGTAACAATGCTGTTATATGAGGATGATACAATTGTAACATCAGTTATATAAGGATGATACAGATGTAACATTGCTGTTATATAAGGATGATACAGATGTAACATTGCTGTTCTATGATGGTGAGGTTACAGATGTAAAATTGCTGTTCTATGATAGTGATGATACAGATGTAACATTGCTGTTCTATGATGGTGAGGATACAGATGTAACATTGCTGTTCTATGATGGTGATGATACAGATGTAACATTGCTGTTCTATGATGGTGAGGATACAGATGTAACATTGCTGTTCTATGATGGTGATGATACAGATGTAACATTGCTGTTCTATGATGGTGATGATACAGATGTAACATTGCTGTTCTATCATGATACAGTTGTAAGACCCCGTTAGATGATGCCACAGACTGTCAGAATCACAGATGCCATATTTCTGCTGTCACGGGGTCAAGAGTTCAGGTTTCAGATCTAGTTACCTTCATTACAGCAAAGGTTCAATTTAAAGATCACCATGTGGTTTTCTGGGCTCCATTCTGGAAAACTTCTGCCCCTTAAAATCATGTCAGACTAATTATGAGTCTTTCCTTCAATGTTGGACTGCCTCTGCCTGGGAGGCAAAGAACCAGCAGTCGGCATACAAATAAGATGGACATGTGAAACGGATGTGCACACAAAACATGAAAGTTATGGATCAGACCACAGCCCAGGAATGGATGAACAACCAGAACTTCCCACCAAAGCTTACAGCAAGTGAACACTAAGAAAAAGAAGAAAAAAGAATAAAGTGCTTGAAAGAACAGGCAAAAATGTTAAACATTTGGGTGTTTCAAAAACGATGTTTGGCATTTTGCACAATACAGCTTAAATTGTTGAACAATTCAATATGCACAGTTGTTACCAAATGAGACGACATGGTGTCATATCTGGCATTGTCTGACCTGGTGTAATATCTGGCATTGTCTGACCTGGTGTCATATCTGGCATTGTCTGACCTGGTGTCATATCTGGCATTGTCTGACTTGGTGTCATGTCTGACCTGGTGTCATATCTGGCATTGTCTGACCCGGTGTCATATCTGGCATTGTGGGACCTGGTATCATACCTGGCATTGTCTGACCTGGTGTCATATCTGGCATTGTCTGACTTGGTGTCATATCTGGCATTGTCTAACATGGTATCATGTCTGGCATTGTCTAACATAGTGTCATGTCTGGCATTGTCTAACATAGTGTCATATCTGGCATTGTCTAACATAGTGTCATGTCTGGCATTGTCAAACATGGTAACATATCTGGCATTGCCTAACATGGTATCATATCTGGCATTGTCTAACATAGTGTCATATCTGGCATTGTCTAACATGGTATCATATCTGGCATTGCAGCTTCTCAGTACAAGCCATTAGTTTTTTTAATCATACACATTTTGAAGTAGAGTTAGATTAATGCCACGAAGACTGACCACGCCAGCCTCACAAAAATGGGAATTCCCGTTTCAGCTGTATGGCCTTATGTATGGAACACGCTGTGGTCTGACTAACTGATCCTTTGTTTTCTTGTTGTGTTAATTTGTCTGAGTCGAACACGGACATATGGTGCTACACCCGTAGTTTTACAGAACAGTCAGCCTTGAATGGGTGATGTGGTTAACGTTTCATTGTACCTATTTTGTGCTGGGTCTTCATGGGAACCAAAGTCAATTATAACAATTAATCAGGATTTGAACCTACGACATTAGGGTGGATAAACAGATGTAGCCACTGCATTACCATAGGCTGCCATTGCTACAACACTGCCCTTGTAGTAAATATCCTTGACTTCTTGTATAGGAGATGGGTACTTTAATTTTTACGACCCTATCTCGTCGGCATAGAGATTTGGTAGGGAAATCTCCAGAACATCTCATAATGCTTGTGGGGGGGGGGGGGGGGGGGGGTTGTGTTTAGTTTTAGTAGTAGTCGCTATTCATTTGACACTAGTTCTAATCCTCCCCCCCCCCCAACCCCATATAATATCGTACTGTCCAGAAAAATCCATAGTAATTGCCTGTGAAATCTCAAAGCCGACGAGATGGGGTGGTCTTAAAATAAAGTACCAGGAGATGTGTCCACCTTCAGACATCGTCAGATAGGCTGACGAAATATCTGTGCCTAGATGATTGACGTCACAGTATGCATGGCTGTAGAGAGAGGAGAACAGGCAGAGGCCTGGTACTTGGACACCATGGGAGCAGAGCTAGAGGTAACCAACGGACGGATGGAATGTTCCAGGCCGTGAATACCACACATATATAAGTCTCGTATTGGACCTGTGCGACGGAACATAGGTGCTCAGCCACCTTGAGCTACCTTCCCACATCGCATGTTTTATTACGTACTTAAACGAGGCTTGGGAGATTGTATCTCCCACATCAGAAGAAACTGTAATGTAGCTTTCTCTCCCCCCCCCCCCTCCCCCACGCATTTTCCGCTCCCCAGCCATATATGAAAATTGTCTTTTTAAAGTATTTATTTGTTTAATATTATTTAAAATGCTGTTTTTTTAAACAGATTATTATTATTGTTATTATTATTATTATTTGTTTTATTATTTTAGGCACTTAAACTAGACTAACGCCTAGTGAGGTCCCCTCTGTGTTTACTTTTTGTCGGCGCCCCTTTCACCGAATGCCTCTTGAAAGCCTCATGCTGTAAGGCAAAACAGGCACTGGAGAACAAAACAAAGAAGAAGAAGACTAGGCGGCAGGGAGCGGCAGGCTTGTTGACCTGATCTGTAAGCTGCCATCTCATGAAGGCTTAGGGTAATCTGGCGACTGGATCAGAGGCGTGTTTAATATCTTGAGGTGACCCCGCAGCCCCAACACAATAACTGCTGAACTGTGTACTTGTTGACTCTCTGATTGTCTGAACCGATGCTCACAACTGTGGTCTTGGAGCTGA